ATAATAATATTGGGCCATAAACCTGTGTTCCAAAAGATACTTTTCTATTATAACACTAGGGAGGGGAGTCAGATACATGAAATATATTTCTATATTGTTTAATAGATACAGGTTTCATAGTCCCATGTACAAAATGGAATTCTTTAGTAATCAAATAAGGACATTTGTTTCTGACTTTCATTACTTTTTGTGTTCACTCTGAACCCACCTTTTCACAGATGGCAAAAAAATAAATTTTAAAAGATAGCCCAATCCAGTGAGTTTTTGGGAATTCAAGGTTTACTTCATAGTCCAGTTTACAAATACCATCTAGGCTTTTTTTTTTTTTTTTTTTTTTTTTTTTTTTTTTTTTTTTACTTCCTTACCTTTTCTGGCCCTGAGGGACCACAGATAATATTGAAGAGGGGAAGGGCTCTACATATATGATTGTCAGGAGTTGGCAGTGAGATAGGAGCCTCATCTGAATCTCCAGCTGATAAATCTATTATTGGCATAGATGATAAGGGACATAACTTTTCTTATGTTAGTGTTAATTCTTAGGGGTGTCATATTAGATGGGGGTAGTCACCCACTTAGACCCAGTGTAGCTTCCTGGTATGAATGATTTTTATTACTCCTCATCTCATTTCTGGCTTTATAAAGTCTGTTGTGGTTAAAAACTCAAGGATGTATACATCTGGCCTGGGAGATTTCTTGGGAGAGCCACTGCTTTTCCTCTTTACCTACCTTCTGAGTCTTTCTACTTGGACACGTGGGGAACTTCTGATTGCCCTCCATATGTAGTTGCGACCCTTCTCTAAAAATGGGAGATTGTGGGGGTAGGGAAGTGAATATCCAACACAGTTCTCACTTTTCCTCATTCCTCCTTTCTTCGCCTTTCCCCTGAGTTCCTCCTCTTCCCCCTTCTTGAGGTATATGAAGCAAAACAGAATGGTGCATTTCATTCTGTTCTTACAACTGTCATGTGCTCCATTTGGTCTGGTGAAGTTCACTTCTATCAGTATGGAAGACCGAGATGGAAGGAAGTAAACCTATAATTGCAAATGTCCTCCGTATTCTCCCCTTTTCAAATCTCATCTCTTACACTTAAATCATGTCTTTTAAACAGTATAATCAAAAAGCATATCTTCTTCCTTTCTTCGTATTTGGTGTAGAAAATTTTGTAGTCACCTGCCACAGAACAATATATCACATATCATTCTGCTACATATCGGTGTATACGAAGATATCGGCATGATCCCGTGGTTCACATACTTAGCTATAGAATCTATGACTCCCAGATCAGTCACTTACCAGCCATATAACTTTGGGGAAGTTATCGGCTTCTCTAAGCTTCATTTTACACATGTGCAAAATGGGGATTGTAATAGCAGTTACTTCATGGTGGTGTTGGAACTTGGAATAATCAATTCCTGGTATTTTATAAGTGACGCATAGAGGATTTAGAAATTTCCTGTCCTAGAGACAAAACAGTGAAGAAAGAAAGGGTGTAGGTATTCAGGAAAAGTTATTCATCAGCTTCTTTAAATAGTTCTATCCTAGCAGTCCTGGCAACCTGGGTTCTGCAGTTAGTCCTAACAATTCAGAGGTTGAGGTTCTTTACAATTCAAGAATCCCCTGAGCAACTAGCAGAAGATTGCTAATTTCCTCAGTTTCAAATGTTGAATAATGATTCAGTAATTTTTGCGATTAAGATTTATTAAGCAGTCCCATGATGTTTCTTGCAGAGGTGAGTAAGAAATACAACATACACTGTAGAGTGGACACTGGACAGTTCCTCATGAGTTTTGTCTCTTGTCTAGAGAATAAAACAAGAATATAAGTGAACACACGGTGGGTAGAATTGGCATACTCTTTCCCCTATAGTCCTAGAGTGAAAATTAATTTTCACAGTTATGTGACAAATCTAATAAACTCTATTTTTTTTTCTATTTCGTTAGAATATCATCAATTTTACTTATAGCTTAAGAAACTAAGACTCCTAAACTAGATATTTCCTTTGGGAATTAAACTGCTAAAGACAATGAAGACTTTAAAAACTAACAACTACTTTTGGGGAAAAAACCTTTTTTTTCCAGTTGTGTTCATTGTTATTTTAAAGGCACATTGTATAGTGAATTCCTCAGTTTCTCCTTATCTACCTGATGAATTTAAATGTCCATAAAGATGAATATTAATGGTTCCTGTACTTCCCATGTTAGACATGTATTGGTCGATTTTGCTTCAAAGTAACTTACTTCTTTGTAGTATTAAGTTACGCTAATTTCCTACCTCCCTGCCTTTTATTTTCCTCTGGAGAAAACCCTTCCAGGGCATGACCTAATGAATTCTGGTTCAGATTTCCAAATGAATTTGAACCAAAGTGATTCTATAATTTGGTGGAGCGAACCTTCATTAAATACCCTAGCAAGGAAATTTTTACTGTTTCATACCAGACTAAAGTACATTTCTTGACATATTGAAATTGAACTTCAACATTTATGAGAATATAAATTGCAACAGCACATTGTAACTGTCATGAGTCCAGTAGAGCCTTAGGTCAAGGGTTTTTACTTTCTCTGTAACCCCATTAAAAATAGCAATGTTTCTAATTATTTTTCCTTTAAAAATTAGAAAAATATGTCCTGGTCTCCAGAGAGATGTTATCTTCAGTTATTTGTATAATTTATATGGTTGCATGGGGTATGTCTTTATAGTTTTTATTTGCACTTGACCAAAGTGCAAATTCAATTTTATAGGCTAATTGAGCCTTCTCTTTTAAAATCTGAATGTGGTTTTCTAATTGAGAGCATTAATTTTTGTTTCTACTCTTTATTCCTGACCTCTTTGCCATCTTCTCACCCCAAAAGCTTCCCCACCCCCAGTCCCACCAGTTTGGGTATTTCTTTATTTTGTATTCAGTATAATTAACATACAGTGTTAATTACTTTCAAGTGTAGGATACAATGATTAAACATTTCTATATATTACTCAGTGTTCTTCAGGGTAAGTGTGCTCTTAATCCCCTTATCTATTTCACCCAACCCCCACCCAGCTTCCCTCTGGCAACCACCAGTTTGTTGTTCTCTGTATTTAAGAGTCTGTGGTGGTGGGGGCCTGGGTGGCTCAGTTGTTTAAGTGTCCCGCCCTCTTGGTCTCGGCTCAGGTCATGATCTCATGTTTCGTGAGTTAGAGCTCCATATCCAGTTCTCCGCTGACAGTGTGGAATATGCTTGGGATTCTGTCTCTCCTTCTCTCTCTGCCCCTCCCCCTGCTCATACTCTTTCTCTCTCTCTCCCTCTCTCAACGTAAATAAATAAACATTTTTAAAAAATGGTCTGTGAGGCGTTGTTTTGCCTTTTTTCTTTGTTTCTAAATTCCATGTATGAGTGAAATCATATGGTATTTATATTTCTTTCTCTGACTTATTTCATTTGGCATTATACCCTCTAGGTCCATCCATGTTATTGCAAATGGCAAGATCTCATTGTTTTTGCCATTTAGGTAATATTCCAGCACTCAGAAACTTTTGAATGTTCAAAAGAAGGAACATAGTTTACTTTAGACTAAGCCGTGATTACCTGTTTGTATAGGTGTGCTATATGCATCATCTGACGTTGAATTTCACATTTGTCTATAGCATCTCTATACTCTTCAAATACAGTCACTGGATTACCACATACCAGCAAGAACTTATGGCATATTATATCATCTTTGAAAGTTTTCTGAGCACCATTGCATGAAGTTAAACATGCTATGCTGACTATTGTGAGCTTCCTCAGGACTCTGACACTTGATTTCTCCTCGTAACCCGTTGGCTGAGCCTAGGGGTCTGTTTTGAATTGCAAGAATAGACAATGCATAAACTTATCAGTAAAATTCAGTGGATCTTATTGTATAAGTCAACTGCACCACTCTGTGTCCCAGTGTTGATCAAGATGAACTGGCCTGAAGGATGTGGGAACACAGAATATACTCTATGGTGACATGCTTGAATCAGCAGAGGAGACAGGTAGCCCCGAGAAATGTGAAGAGAAGTGGACATCACGGCGGCGAGAGCTGTTCTGAGGCAGGGAGGCTGAGAGGCTGAGTCCTGACCAAGAGATAACAGTACTTCCACGATTGTCAGTGAATTCTAGCCATTCTTTCATCTTCTCTCATTCAGAAATGAAAGTCCCAAGCAAGAACATGCAATTAGCTGAGACTATGTCATGTGCCCACCCTGGTACAGAGAGTCAGCAGAGGAAGAATCTGAACTATTTTTTTTTTTTTTTTTTTTTCCCCTGTAGGCTACACACAATGGATGGTTCCCCTCCTAAACTGGAAACAAAATGTATTTCTGGATAGTTACAGACATTTTATTTTAAAAACTTAAGATTTTTCTGGGATATCATGTTGAAAATGGAGACTCCCAACCCTATAACATTATCTGTGTTAGATTAGAAAAGAAGAATAACATTTCTAATCCCTAATATGTAAATTTAAACTAATAATGCCTACTGAGTACATTATGTTGAAATACTATTTATAATGCCTTAAACACAATAAGTACATTGCCTACATTCAATTTAATGTATTGAATTGCTAAAGCAATTTCTTTTGCTAAAGCAACTTAAGGCTTGATTGGTATGATTGTAATATTTTAAAAAATTAATATTGGTATGACTGTAATACTGTAAAAAGTTAATATTTTAAAAAGGTAATGATTCTGTTCACCTCTCTGCAATTTTAAAATAAATGATAGGGGCGCCTGGGTGGCGCAGTTGGTTAAGCGTCCGACTTCAACCAGGTCACGATCTCACGGTCCGTGAGTTCGAGCCCCGCGTCGGGCTCTGGGCTGATGGCTCAGAGCCTGGAGCCTGTTTCCGATTCTGTGTCTCCCTCTCTCTCTGCCCCTCGCCCGTTCATGCTCTGTCTCTCTCTGTCCCAAAAATAAATAAACGTTGAAAAAAAAAAATTAAAAAAAATAAATAAATGATATAGTTTGATTTTTTTTTTTTTTTTTTTTTAATCTTTAACAGGCAGGCTAGCCTCAATGAAGCAGCCGAGAAGTACTATGATCTGGCGGCCAGACTGAGACCTAATGTAAGTACTTCGCTAATGAGAAACGTTACTCAAAGGGATAGATTCACAGCATGTGATAGCTTTAGATAAAGAAGTCTCCTGATGCTGGGCTTTTTCCTCTCTGTTCCCTTATTCCGAGTACCCACTAAATGGCTAATTCAACAATCAAATCTGCCGGTCTCAAGCCTCTTTCTTTTTGCAGAGGTACAAATTTCTGTTTTCTGTCTTGTATAAACCACCATACAGTTTTATCATTTGAATACACGTCTTAGTGTTATTACATACTTGGCATCTGATTGGCTTTTAAAATTAGTTCCTTGAAAGTATCTTTGCTGCGGCGTTTAATACCTAAGGACTTCCTAACATCAGAAGCTTTTTTTGATCTTTACATACACTCAAACCTTGAGTCATGCCTCTTTCCTATTCCACGGTCCTCATTTCTAATAACTGTGCTTGTCAACTTTATCAAGTATGTTTTTATTAGAATTTTTCCCTGAGTAGTCACACTTCCATAAAGTGGGATGGATATAAATTAGATCATTACCATTGAAATAGAGTAACCAGAAAATAAGAACTGGTTTTATATCTGTCTTCTAAGCCGTTTTTTATTCGCCGCACATCACTGACCTCCAGCGCGTTGCTTTTATTCTCACACACCCTGCTCTGCATCACCCTCCAACACTAAAACCTTCTCCCCTTACTCTCCAGATATAGACTGTCTATTGAGAAATTAATTTTGAAACAGTAATGAAAATGCATGTGTGATGTGACTACAAATAATGGGATAAGTCTCATTTTTATACAGTAACTCTTCCGTTGGGCAAACGACTATGGAGTGCCTGCTTTGTGATAGGATACAGAGATTTGATTTCATTCCCTAAAAGACTACATAATGTAGCAGAGAAGATGGAACATAATCAACTAGTTGAAACACAGTGTAGCAATTCCTAAGCAGAGGTATATACAGTCCTGTGGGAGCACAAAAGAGGAGGATTAATGTTCCCTGAACGCTACCCACAGGAGGAGTAGCTTTTTTTTTTTTAAGCATATATAACCACATGCAATCTTAGCCCTCAATGTCCGTGCCCCCAGTTTCATTAATTATGAGGTACTTCAAGAATCAGTGAACTGTTTGCAACAGAAGAAAATAATTCAATAGTTGTAATGGTAAGAACAATAATAGCTGAAATTTATTAAACACTGATTATGTGTCAGGCATCATGTTAAGTACTTCACTGATTTCTCACAACAACCCACAGGTACTTCTGTGGTCCCCGTTCTGCTGAATCTTGGAGAAATTAGTAACTCACTCAGTATCATAACTGGAGAGTGGGATCCCATGATAACCCAGTCCTCTCTGTGCCTAAGAGAATGCTTGCTGGAAAAAATGCAGTTATATCTTAGGAAATGCAAACCAAAAGTCTAGGAAGCAAAAAAGAAAAATGATTCCCTCATTTATGTATTTGGTAAATATTTACTGAGTACCTGTTAGTGCCAAGCACTATTCCAGGCACTGAATACACAGCAATGCATAAAACTGACCTGAGTTCCTGTCTGTTAGGAGCTTACAATTTAGTCTGAGGAGATGAAGCAGAAGAATAAGTAAAGTATATATGGCATCAGACAGTGATTAAGTGCTTTAGGAAAAAACGGAGCAAGAAAAGGGGAGTTTGGAGGTACAGGGAGAGATAGGCAGGGGGCATAGCTTTGTGAATGCCTGAGATGGACCTCTTTTTATAGCATTATTTTTTTAAAAAAATTTTTATTGTGTCTTTCTTTATTTTTGAGACATAGAGTGTGAGCAGAGAAGGGGCAGAGAAAGAAAGGGAGACACAGAATTCAAAGGTGGCTCCAGGCAGCACAGAGCGCTCCGCAGGGCTCAAACTCCTGGAACCTTGAAATCATGACTGAGCCGAAGTCGGCTGCTTAGCCAACTGAGTCACCCAGGCGCCCCTGTATAGCATTTCTAAGGGTTGAATATGAAATCTTTAATTATTATAACTTCAACTGAAGATGAGAATCAAGGTTTTTTTTTTTTTTTCTTACCTTTTTTTTGTTCCCTTCACAATGGTTAATATAAGGCCCACAATATACATAAAAATGGTGATGTTAAGTTCAACTTTTACTCACTGAGTATCAGTCACTTGAGTATCACTTTTATTTTTGCTAAGTAGTTGATCAAATGGTCTTCTTCAGCACATTATAATGGATTAATGAGAAAAGAGCTATCTGAGCTATTTGACCTGACCTAAAAAAATGAAAAAGTTGCTGAGGCATTCCAGATTTAAGCCAGACTCATGAGCTTGTTTATTTTAAATGGCCAGCCAAATCATAAAATCAATATTTAATCTCCCAACGTAAAGCCATTTTTTTCTGAAACCCCAAAAAGTTCCTTCATAAACATTCCTCGGAAAAAAATGCATTTATTCAAATTCTACTTCCTTTATCTGGTAGCAATAAATTAAGTATTTTATGGATTCGGATAGAATAGGAAGTTCAAATTTAACAATAAGTAAATGATGTTACAGTTGTGGGTCAACAGATGTGGTCTTTCCCTAATCTGTTTTATGAATTGTGTTTTGGTTTTCTGTATGTAATCTAGGTAAGTAAGTTGCCACCGTGGCAAGACTGATAAAATAAAGACATTGGCGGTAATATATAAGTTTGTGTTCTGAACCAAGGAGACCTGTTTAAAACAATAGTCCATATAGTGATTTATTAGTGGTTAGCATCTGATCCAAATTAAAGCGTCCATCGAACATTTATCTTGATCATAGCTGTTATTCTCTTTGTCCTGAAAACATTCTATGTTATTTCTGTGCTTTAACTTAATAAATTTCAGTTCCCTGCTTGGAAGAGGACACAGTAAAGAGACCTCCATTCCCCTTCTCTCTAAGTAGTTTCACTGTCTTTTCTATTTTTCTTGTCTACACAGTAATTTAATCTTATTTTTCAAAGGGCATTTTCTTCTGTTGTTAGAACATCCAACTGTAACAATCAGTAGCTGTATGTGGGGGACCGTTGGCAATGCTCATGTCAGATCATGATTGTACACAGTAAAATATGTGGCTGCAACCTTGTGTCCTGCCACTTACTATCACCATATTAACAATATTGTTATCTGTGGCATGTATTTCTCTCTTAATAAAATACCTATTCCATTTTTTCAGTATGCCCCACGATGAATTTCTTTATTCCTTTCTATTCTACAAAAGCCATATGTTTTTTCATACAATTTGCTTTAAAACTGTCAACTGACTTCTTGGGATATTTTATGTACAAAGAATTCCAGTGAACAAATGCTAAACTAATGAAAGTCTAAATTAGTGGGCACACATAATTTTAAGTGTTAGATTATGATATTGTCTCTTTACAGGGGTATTCAGTATATTGTCATTTACTGAAGTATACAGTTACATTTTATTACCAAAATGGGGCCATTAAATTTTTTAATTCTATTTATTTGATTTTTTGGGGAGGTAGGAGGCAATACTCTAATCTTAAATGTCATACTACATTAAAACATTTTTATAATGGGAAAACTCTACCAAAATTGCCATTTTAAGTTTTTCCACTCTTAGTTTTTCATTTGTGTAAATAAAACTGATCTCTCTGTCGAGGTTACTTTAAAAAGACAACACTCTTTATCTTCTCTCACTTATGCACATTAAAAAATGCTGACTCTTGAGGACTAGAGGGAACATTTAAATGAAATAGTTTTGTTCCTCCTGTGGGAATTAAGCCAAATTCTGCATTAACTTATGGATTTTTAATTTTTTTCTAATGTGAAGAATGGGGAATTTGCATAATACAAAGTCACCTACTTGTACTTGGCTTTTAGCAAACTCTAGAAGCTAGAAAGAGGTGACTATTAATGATCCTGTCTAAAAATCTTGTATTTTTCTGGATGTAATTGTTTGCAATCTGAATTCATTTAATTTATTTTTTTTTTTTATCAAGTGCCAGATTTGTGAAAGACTCTATGCCAAGTGCAGTGGGATTTCAGTTATGAAAAATTAACCCTGACCTGGAGAAATGTACTATCTCATGTGAGGAGGCAATGGAGGAGAGAATACTTAGATTCATATCCCCACAATTCAGGGCAGTAAATAATGCTGCATAATACGTACTTTGTGAATGCTGTAAGGTAGTGCTAGAAAAGTATTCAGGAGAGAGAAATCACTTTCAGCTGAACCCTAGAAGGCACTGAGTCCGAGTAGGAAACTTAGATAATCATGAAATGATAGGATGTTTATAGGCAAAGATTTTAGAAGGAGGAGGACAAAAGAGAATTCTGGCAGGTAGGGACATATACATGAATAAGGACATGGAGCTGAGAAAATGAATGAAGCACAAGGAATAGTAAGCAGATATAGTTTATATATTGGCCAGGGTTGGGGGCAGAGAGGAAGAATAGGGGAAGATAGAACTGGAAATGAAAATAAAACCAGATGAAAGGCATTGAATGCCATACCAAGAATTAGGAGTTTGTATTCCAGAAGTATGTTGAATAGGATGACATAATGAAAGTGATAAGTTAGGATGGCCATTTATATGCTGTAATGAAGAATGTGGGTTGCATTTGGAAAAGTAGAGTTAAAAGATGCCACCTTGGGCAAACCAATAAAAAAAAGTCATTGTAATAGTTTAAGCAGAAGGTATAATCCAAAAGTACAGAAACATAGTGGAATGGAAAAGAATATGCAGGGGAAATAAGTAGATTATTTGATGGGATGTGAGTAGGAAAATTAGTTGGCCCAATGAGTGTTCCAAAATTTCGAATATAGGTAACTTGGAAGAAGGAAAAAGAAATACCCTGAACAGAACTGTGGCAGTTGGAGGAGTATGTTTATTTCAAGACAAAAAGGTTAAGTTTGGACCCAGCAGATTCTGAGTAAGAAGTAGGATATTATATTTGTCCATGGGACATTCCTATCAAGTAGGCAGTTGGAGGAAAGGCCCCAGTTAGGATTAGAGACGTGGGAGTTGTTTGCAGAAAGGAGATAGTGCCACAGCAGTAG